GCGTGATATTTAGGTGTTTACAAGGTTTGTATTTTGTAAAAACGACATGTTAGTCTTTATTAGATATGTGGTTAAGTGTTGTTAATGTTTTTTGCACATTACAACACTTTTTATTTAATACTTTGCAACACTTTACAGATTATTTGATCATTATTAGCCAATTTCTTACTTAATCTTAGACAAAACCTATTGCATAAAGCAGACTTATCTGTTATCAGCATTATTGATGACTAAGAGGATTGCAGCGAACAGAAAAACATGTTTTCTCTCTATATACTATCTTATTTCTCTCCTAAACCTGCATTAAGCATACATGTTTCCTTTTTTTACTGTTGATCTACTTTAATGTCTAGCCTTCATTTACCTAAAAAAAAAATGCAACAAACCACTGTGAAACCATGGATACATTACAGACAATAAAGGACATGTGTGTCGTTAAATTAGAGAAATGATTTAACCTACAAAGTAAACCAAACTTCACTACCTGCTCACAAGTTACCTTTATTTTATTCTAGCCTCACTGCGCCACCTTGTGGAGAAACAGTCACATAACCCTAACCCTTTCACATCTGTATATTCACTTAATTAAAGCTGCATACATTGTTCTACCAAGTACTCAGTTATTGCACATAAGTAAAAGTAGCATTACTATTATGTATACAGTGCTACAAGTAAGACATCGTGCATTTAAAATCTTATTTAAGTACAAAAGTGTCACCATTTAAATGTACTCAAAGTACTCATTTCAGAATTGTAATATAATATTATTAAATTATAAATAGTGATGCATTAATGTGTTCACTCAATTAATGTTGCCGATAGTAAACGTGGAACTGATTTGAATAATTATGTACACTGCTGGGTAGCTTAGCCTATAATAATATATCATGATGTATTGGTTGATTTATATTTTGTATTAATAATATCTGAATCTGCAAAGTACCTAGCGATTAAAGCCATCTATGTAGTGCAGTAAAAAGTCAAATATTTCCCTCTGAGAAGTAGTGCGTTAAAATGAAGATGCATAAAACGGACCTACAAATTGTAATTAAGTACAGAACTTGAGTAAATGCACTCATATAAATTATAATACTGACTGCATGTTTATTTAGTAATTCGTTGAGTTTTATAGGTCACAACAACATTTTAAAAAAGTACTCTTGACCCTGGAATTTTGAAAACAATCTAACCCCAAGCTTCATATAACTTGATCAGTTTTGTAGATATTCCATTTTTTGCTTTGAAATAAATTGTATTAATGGTTTACGTCTATTTTCTTGGATAGTGCATTACAGGTTGACACAGTACTGTAGAATTAATTATGTGATTTCCCTCTACTCGGGCGTGTAGTAAGGACTCGAACCTTTGATGATTTTGTGGCGAAGGGTTAACAGAAGACAGGAATGGCCGTTGGGCTGAGAATGAGCCGCAGTATAATGAGGACCCTGTCACTTCCTGTTAGACTCATCCTCGTTGATTGTATCATGGTCATAACCTTATTTTATTCACACATTTTGAGTGGCTTCCATTCCGTGATTTAAGATTGTAGGTATGAGATATTGTAGATAGTTGAGGTCATAAGGTTATATCATTAACTGGGAGGTTGTACACACATTTCTCGAATTTGCCCTTTATGTTAAAACTGCAAATGTAAGAGTTAATGTCGGATATCGTTCATCATGTCATTAATCCTCACACCTCCAGAGTTTTGATAGGAAAGGTTTGTTCATCACTCATTTTTAGAAGCTGTTTCACAACTTGGACATAGTAATTTCCAGATTAGTGGTGAGAGGTCAAGAAAAAGGAAAGATATATTACTATTTGTCGTGTTTATCAGGACGTATTGAATCAACCCCAATTTCAATGTTATTTGTAACTCAGTCAAATCAATGAATTACTTAATGGCGATGACAGGTGTCTTTGTAATGTAGACACATGTTCTACAAGATGGTGGAGACTGTATTTCTATTTTTATTATTGTGTAAAATATAGTGTGTGTGTATTTTCACCAATTAGTTGTTTGAGTGAAAGTAAAACAGTAAAAACAAATGACTTTAATATACAAAATATGTTTAAAAAAAACCTTATTGACATTAAAATCATATTTCTTTAACGTGATGCTCTGATTATTTCAAGGTTGTATTAAGTACCTTGTTTTTGTCATCAAAACTAAGTACGATTAGAAAACTCATATCTGGTCACGTTGTGAATTAGAATTATTTATACTATACTTTATTAAAGGTGGGGTATGTAATTTATTTCAGAAACACCTTTTGTTATATTCCATGGAATGCTCTTAACATCCCGATAGCAATGAATATATTAAGTGCTTTGACAATAAATACATAAAAAAAATGTCATCTGTGGAAGCCGTAGTACTGTAAAAAGCACGACCAATCATCTGAGCCGGCCCGGCTAAAATAACTGGATGGCCTACCTGCCTGTCAGCCTTCCATCTGTGCACAAACTTATCTCGTGCCCTCATTGGTCATGTGCACGTTCGTGTGTGTTGGAGGAGGGGCTCTGTAAGGAAGTCTGAAGGAAGAGGCAGATTTGTTCCGGTTGTGTACTTTCAAATTCTAGCGCACTCGAGCTGGTTTCTCCAAAATGACATACCCCACCTTTAAGTACAGGAGTTACTAAGTGATCACATAGAAAAATGAAGTTTCATTCCACATAGGGTTGTTACAAAATCACACCTCAGTACAGGAATATCAAAGTCAAAATAATTTATGATTGAGATATCTTAGGATAATAAGATTTTAAATTGAACAGAGTCTTTTTATGTTATGTTTTAAATAATAATGATCAGTCAAATGTACCTTACATGCATTTTATCTCTTCTGCAAATGAATTAGCCTCAGAATACAAGTGCGGGAGGTGAAGGGACAGTCTGTTACCTAAACACGTGTAAAGAGAAATGATTCAAGAGACCTCGGATTATTGTCTTCATTAGTATTCATCTGTATCAATATATCATTTTTTTTTTATCACGGTTATCGCCATCACCGGTATATCGCAACACCCCTTATTCTAAATATTTAAATACACTGTGGTGTCAAAAGGAAGATATGTTCACTGGCATAAATACAATTGGTGGGAAAAGCGGCAATGTAATTCACACCTTGATGATAGCAATTGAGATTAGAGCCACCTCACATCACTGGTCGACGTCACACAATGAAACATTTCAACAAACTCACAGTCACAACATCTCACTATTCAGAATAATGTTTATTGCTTTTGAAGATATTAATCTTTTTCTTCTTTTTTTGCACTTTCCATTTTTCCTCTTTACAGTAAAACAAAGAGAGGTGACAGGTAAAACCACTGCATTGTCATTTGTGGATGTGTACACACACATACACACACAAAGGAAACAGTATGTACAGCTGTTAGTCAGTGTCCTGGGACTGGAGGCCTTGTTCCTGTAGCAACTCAACAAACATAGAGCTTTACATTGACTTTACAATAGAGCTTTCACAACTAACTGTTTGACAAACCATAGGCTATAAAGGCTATGGAGCTGTACAATATGGTTTAGCGTTCGCTCTGTGCGGAGAAACGGGGCCGGAGGAAGCATGTTGGTCATTAGATCTGCAAAACATAAACAGTATTTTTTATTTTTCATATGTCCTCGAGCTAAACCAATTGCCCTGCTGCTGGCATTGACAAAAAGCACTGATTGAAAAATAATCAAAACAGATTTTCGGGGTGGGGGGGGTTTAAAAAAGAAGACCAATATTATTCACTTTTGACTAATTACAGTACAGTTACACTGGGTGAATGCTAACTATAAAAATAAGTCTACCGGCATGTTTTTGCACCCAAAGGGTTCGTACGCTGGGCAAAAATGACCAAAGGGCACAATTAATCGAGAAAATGTGAGACCATTCCCAGTGTGATCTCTGTCCTCATCATAGAAAAACATCTTCAGAGTGCAGATCTTCTGCCGTTAATAATTTAAACTTTGATACACCTAAGCTTATAATTTTTCCAACATGTTTAAATACTGAATTAAATCACAACAATACAGCTAAATCTTATCATAGTGAATCATAATTAAATGTAATGTACACCATAATAAAATATATACAGTGAAATATTCATACAAATTTCTAGGTTGGTCCAGCTACCCCTAAATGCTCTCTTTTTCTGTCCTTTTTTTTTAGAAAAATGTGCAGGAAATACTTGAACCACAGGACAAAATAAATAATCACAGACTATCACAGTTAACACTATAAGAAATATGGATCTTAACATTTAAATTAACCCGTAGGAAACAATATATCATAAAAAGTAAGTGCAAAATAAATGTCGGGGCATGTTTTACTCACAGGGTTACGGGGTAAAATGATTTTGGAGACATTGATGGAAATGAGCACTAGGTGGCAGTATTTGACCATGTCTCAAAGTGTATTCCAAATCTCAAGAATTATAGGATAAATCTGTAAAATTGGATCGATCTGAGCATCATTTGTTGTTCTGTTCTGTTAGGGATGTTGTTTGTTAATGTTTGTCAAGGCAGGTGCTGCTGCGCTGTAATTTACCACCTCACTGCCTCCTATCATAGCTCGCCTGCAAATTGTTGAGTACTGCAAGCAACGCGTAAAGCAAGTCTACAAAGAACAGGGCGGTCATTTGGTGTGAGAGATCAAAACAGAAAGGACTAGAGGGGGATACAGACAGCTGATACCCTAAAAACTGCACGCTCCATATACTCTGAGATGGACGAGGCGGTGGTGTAATGGACTTAAAAACATACACAGCAAACAGGGAAACAGTCATTTCAGAAGTGAATAACACAACTGCCTTTTCTTGGAGAAAGTATCTATCCAGAGTGATTGGGGTGGGGGGTGGGGAGTGGGGAGCGGGGAGCGGGGAGCGGGGGGTTGACAATTTAAAGCAGAAGAGTGTCTCTGAGAAAGAAAGGAGAGAAAAAGAGAGTTATCAGAGCACAGACTGGCAAGATGGCGGGAGAAGAAGAAGAAGAAGAAGTATTAGCTGTGGATCATTTTGAGAGTCTCTGTCTCCCTGTGTTTTTCATGCGGAGGCAGGGGGGGGGAGAGCGACAGAGGACGGGAGGGGGGCCGGGGGGAGACGGGCTTCAGGCTCTTCAGAGGATGCGGGGACACTGTGGGGGGGAGAGAGGAGACGGGTGGCAGCACGCTCCCTTTCTTCCCGTCCAGCACTATCTGTGATCGGCTCGTCAGGCTGGGTCCCTTCCTGAAGTCGTGGTCGTTGTCGTTGTCCGAGCTGCAGTCGCTCAGGTCAGTGATCTCCAGGTCTGAGTCTGACTCGGGGTCCTGCTTCAGCCCCCCCTCTCCTCTCCGAGGGGCTCTGCAGGCCGGCTCCCAGGCCCAGACTCACCCCCCCTGTGCCCGGAGGATTGGCCTCCGCCCTCTCCCTCTCCCTCTCCCTCTCCCTCTCCCTCTCCGCCAACAACGACGCCCCAATGTCCATGCGACCCAGAGACAGGCTCCCGGGGTACGGAGGGAGGCAGAGTCTGATCGGCTGACCACCCGCCGTGCCGTTCGTCCCCCCGGTTGTCCCCCTCTCACCTGCCTCTGCCGTGGGGAGCAGGGAGGAGAAAGGGTGAGGCAGCTGGGAGAGGCTGCTCTGCAAAGGGTTGGGGTAAAACTGGGAGGGGTAGAGGGAGCCAGGGGGCAGTTTGGGGCAGTTGTTGAGGGAGAAGGCCCCTGGGAGGTAAGGGTTGAAGCCCCAGGGGTAGTCGAAGGGTGGGTTGCGAGCATAGGGGCCCAGCAGGGACGGGGGCTTGGTGTAGCACGGAGCACCTACAGGACAGAGAGGAGAACCAGTTAGCTCTCTGAAGGGCCAAAGGTTCCTTGACATACAACATCCAAGAATGTTCACTAATTATGCTCATCGGTATTAGCAAGTCTAATCAGGAGCCACAGGGGCCAATTCTGCCACGGCTGCTTTCAACACACACACAACAACACAAAGAAACCTGATGGTTCATTTATGCATGCCAGTACTGAGCAGCACACACACTTCACCGAAAAGCAGATGTGAAGACAAAGATTGTGAAAAATAAACATTGAATTAAGAGTTTAAACCTTCCCAATGTTGAGACTGAAGCACTCCTTTGTGCGCCAGTCGATCCTCAAATAAATACGGAGATCTAATGTTCGATAGAGGGTCTTTTAGCATGTTTCTCTTCAGTTATCGTTATATGTTATCTTAATATTTGTCCTTGTTTGATGTTGCAAATGGAGCTGCTGTGATGCAAGTCAAATGTTATACTTGATCTGACAATAAATGATTATCTTATCCTTTTTTTTGGTATTTCTCTTAGGTTAAACAAGGAGATGGGTTGCCCCCAAAAATCTCAGTGGTGACAGTCACCTTTTAAAAAATAATTAAGCCAAGAAATAAGAAAGAATACATGTACGTCCAGGATTAAGGAAACTCGCAAACAGTCGATCTCCTGTCCCCCCAATTGTTCTCACCGCAATCGTTTATATTACGTAAAAACCTTAGGATGAAGTACATTTCATACAACACCATGTTTGAATTCCTTGTGAGTGAAACCGAAACAGGGGGTGAATTCGAGGTGATGCTGGAATTCAATTTTAATGCGCAAACAAAAGCATTGCCTCTCCACATACTGTACTTCCTTCCAACTGACAACCAACTCAAAGCTGCCTCTCTGCTGCACCCTCGCTCTCCTCCTCGCTCTCCGTTTCACTCCGTTATTTACTATGCAGGGCTAATTTGACAGTGGTGAAGTCTCTGCGTGCTGGGCCAGGAGTAGCTGGCAGACACATGAATATTGAATCAGTCAGGCAGGCCTCACTTGCTTATGAAAACACAGTAATGGGCGCCCACAGGCCACAAACTGAAGCCTGCACCCTCAATTAGGGCCTTCCTGCCTGGGAAGGGATTAGGACAGCAGGGACACATGGGAGGGAGAGGAGGGTGAGAAGGGAAGAAGGGGGGGGGGGGGGGGGGGGGGGAAAGGACCTGAGGACAAACAGAGTGGGGAGGAAGGAGGGGGTGTGTGTGATGTGTGTGTGTGTGTGTGTGTGTGTGAGAGTACATCTGTTTACACTCTGTGGCGCAGCACGTTCGTACACATTCTGATGCACGTATAAGAAACAAAGGCAGATGCACATACATAACGACAATTAGGCCAATTGATGAAAAGTGGAGAAATAGCAGGATAAATGTTTGCCTAAAACCGGGTAGAGTGTTTCTCCAGCTTGTTGTTTTGACCGCGGCTGAAATGCATAATTCACCAGCTAACCTGGCCCCTCACCTGCAGCACAGCCTCACCGCGGGCTGCCATGGGACAGCCATCTCTCTTATTTCCTTTAACAATAAATGTTCATGCCTCCCCATATCCTCATTGCTCTCCTCTTTCCCTCTACCGTCTCCTCCTTCCTTTGTTTAAGAAGCTCCGTTTGCTGCCTTATTATACCGCCTCGGCTGTCTTTCTCCTCATAACAAATGTTTTGGTCTCTGGGATACAGAAAGATTCCTATTTGTTTTTTTACACTTTTCACAAACTTTTATTTGCTCACCTGTACTGAGGAAGGGGAATGAATCCAGCCTCAGTTTGTCTCCTTCGGGCCCCGGTGCTGCGGTGGTCCGATCAAACAGGGACGTCCCCCTGCCCGAGTCTGGCAGACGAGGAAACAGGGACTGTATGGCCTGAGAAACAAAGGAGAGGAGAGGGGGGAAAAGAGAGTGGAAGAATATTAAAATGAGTTTCCTTTACTTCCGTAAGCGGTGGTAGAATGCAACAAAGTACATCCACTCAAGTACTGAACCTAAACAGAGGGGTACTGGTCATTTCACTCATTTCCACGTTATGATAAGATAAGATAAAAGGTACTTTATTGATCCCACATTTGGAAATGTTTGTGTTGCAGCAAAGCATTGCACATAAGAAGTAGAAAAAATACTAGAATTTTAACATCTCAAAAGATACTTGTACTTTTAATTGCACTTCATTTATTTTCCAGTTTTAGTAACTAGCTAATTTGCAGATTTATGTTATAAATAAAACATATGATTCAACTGATTGTGGATGGATGATGGTGAATTATTAAAGTAAGTAATTAAAAGAAACCAGATGCAACATTGAAGTGATGAATACCTTAATGCACCAATACATAAAATGCAATTGTTTAATATGTATGACTCTGAAATTAGCCATACTACACAATTGGTACTTCATGGATAATGATGCCAACTGTTTTTACACTGTAGTAGTACTTCTTCCAACACTGCCTTTTAATATAGAAACTTTGCAATACGACTGCTTATGTGCAATGTACTCTTTATTTCTACAATTTAATCATATTATTATTGACTTCTTCACTTTTGAATGTTGCTACGTATTTGTAAGCATGGAAGTGTACTCATTGGATTTGATTTACTTGCCTCTTAAATTGACATGTAAGTGTACTATTTTACGTTTGTCTTTTATCTGCACTTTACTGTTACACTGAATATGTAAATAATAACGGATTTCTGATTCTGTTTCCCAAACAAATCACACGTTCTGCTTCCAATCTGCCCTCATGGCGCTGTTGTGTTTCCACGGTGTAAAGTCACATGTTGACAGCAGCACCCCCGCAGAGTGTGATGCAAACAGTGACAGAGTCGCAGCAAGGACACCATAAAAAAAGGGGGTGTCGGGGGACTAAAAAAGAAAAAAGGGAGGTAGGAGGACGCAGAGGCTCAGAGAGTCAAAGGCAAGGAAGAGTACAGAGTCAAATGTAGAACAGCGATTAAGATGGTGTGCACAAAGGATGGATGAGGAGGAGAGAGAGAGAGGGATGGTGGGTCTTCGTCCCGTGTGAAGGGTACAAACAGATCTGAGAGTGACACCCGTTCAGGATGTAGGGCAGCCGTGTGTGTGTGTGTCTGTGTGTGTGTGTGTGTGTGTGTGTGTGTGGTGTGTGTGTGTGTGTGTGTGTGTGGTGTGTGTGTGTGTGTGTGTGTGTGTGTGTGTGTGTGTGTGTGTGTGTGTGTGTGTGTGTGTTAAAATACGTAAAGGAGAAGGAGGCGAGGTAAAATAAATGGCACAGTTGAATCTCACGAATCAAGGGGACAAAGGGGGGGATTTTTTTTCTCCCCCCCTAGCAGGACTTTTGGATCAATAGTATCTGTCACCCCGCAGCCCATAGTTTGAAAGGCGAGACTGTACTCCCAAGCTGGAGATCTGCGTTGCTTAACAAACCGCATTAATGACCCGCCATTGATCTGATCTGACGCGACCCCTTTGCTTTCTATTTCTTTCATTTTCAATCGATGACAGATGGATGCGCCATAGGAGACGGGATGAGAGCAGGAGGGGATAACGTCTTCTTTTGTTTTAAGGACAAGTTTAAACCGTCCTCCTCCTCTGTCTCCTTCAGTCTCCTTATCCCGTCTTAAGGATGGCACGACAAATGATGGATGGTGCTCTCCTACTGTACTTTCAAGTTACGTGCACTTTCTAGGACATTTGCTGTTTCAAATGTAATTAAGTGCACTCTGACACTCGCATCTAAGTTCAAAAAGACCTGTGTGCAAGGTGTATAGTATACAGCTATATTTGAACTCATTTCTATTGATTTCCGTATTTATTTATAAATATAACTTCTAAAAAAGACATGTATTCTTTAACTAAATTAAGATTTGTCTTTCTTTCCATTTTATAACAGCATTTATCTACGTAGGAAGTCTCTCTGAGCACGTATTAGGAATTGTATCACAATTAGTGACGGTGAAAGAAGAGGCAGACGTGATGATCACCACCCATTCTCTTGTAAAGATCGAACACGCAGCAGGGGCCTGGGAAACACAAAAGGCAAACCACTAGAGTGCAATGGATTTCAGTTACCTGAATTAAATCACTATTAATAGCGAATTAGGGAGCAGATCTCACTATTCCTGCTTTTTGGTTCATGATTTCACTTATTTGACTCCCTGTGTCTTACCTGCTACATCCCATTGTGTGCACACATTGTACCTACGACCTCACCTCACATACATTTGAATTCAAAACGAATACTTTTATAATGTTAATAGTATCCAAATGTTAACATTTGTTCGGAGTACTCTCACTTATTCTGTATATTTTACATTGTGTCTTATTGAGATAAGTTGTGGATATGTATATATTCACTGTTTTGTTGTTTTTATTTTGTGATTTTATTATATTTGTATTGTATTTTTAACTCTGCTGTGTCAAAAAGCACAATCCAATTTTCATAATTCATAAAGTATATGTACTCATAATGATACACTTCTGAATCAAGGACTTAGACGAAATGTGGTCATCATTTAGATGTAGGTGTCATTTTTGTTCTTGTTTCTTTTTGATTATCATTATATGCATATGTATCTAACAATAAGAAGCCCCTCTACCAGCCCCCCCCCCCGTCCCCCCGTCCCGTCATCTCTTCCTCTTTACCTCTGGGCTGCAGTCTGGAGTGCTGGTGCTCCCGTTGAAGTGGTTCTGTGCCAGAAAGAAGGGAGAGTTGGCCATGTCCAGGATGGGGTAGTTGACCAACACCACCTTACTGAAGTTGAATTTGTAGGTGAAGCGCTTCCCTTTGGTTTTGTGCAAAATGCGCTTGTTGTAGTAATACCTGCAGAGGAGGAGGAGGAGGAGGAGGAGGAGGAGGAGGAGGAGGAGGAGGAGGAGAGGATATTGAAATAGGGATGATAGAGTGAGGGGGGGGATAAAGAATAAAGGAAAAAGGAAGAGGAAAAGGAAAAGAGGAGGGAAGGATTAATATAGCGCTCGCATCAAGGTTTTTTGTCTCATCGCTAACAGACACGAATAAGTAAACAAGTTCAGCGCTGTAGGACAAGAGCTATGCTGATTTCCCACTGTTTCTTATTCATCTCCTCCTTACTCAAATCTATTCGTGTCTGCCTTGATTCAATACAATAAGGTTGTTTAAAAGGGAAATTTTATTCAGCTGTTAGAAATCAGAACGCCTCAGAGGCCCTTCACCGACAGGCAAGACGGCAAAACACCGCTTTATCGTGCAGGATCGTATTAACAGACACAAAATAATGTGATATAATTATGACATTAATATAAATGATACTCTTATGATGCTAAAAAATATTTAAAAAAGAGTAACAAAATGGTGTTTGAGTAAGTAAAAAATATGATTTAATTCAGAAAATACTACATTTGTCAGTGAAGGTGAAAAGAGTTCTCTGAATGTGTGCATGGATGTGCTTTCATTTGAACCATCACAAGCAAATTGGGCTCTGAGACATGAAATGCAACCCATGTGATTAGTCAATATAAATATAACGGAGAGGCTGCAACTGTCTTTTTTTAACGGCAAAGCACGTTTACTAAGACAACAAGAGGGGTCTCCACGGTAACGACCTCAGGTGTCTCCCGCTGGGCATGTAGCGCCGTCGTCATGCCGTTTCCTGTGCCACCCACAGAGGTGTCAAAACGTACAGTCTGCCAGGAAGCAGGCTTGATCAACAGTAAAGGCAAAACATGGCGCCATCTGGCTCAGGTGAAGGAGCTGAGAGGGGGGAGGAGGTGAGTGGGGGGGAGGGGGGGGGACGTCGCAAATTGAAAAACCTACCGAGACGACGTCCTATCGCGAGGGTAGAAGATGTGATCTCGGACGCCATTTCTTTAGGGTTTCTTAGTTTTGAAGTGACCACCGAATACAGAATGCATTAGGGCAACCTCAGCGTTAAACACTACGGCTCATTACGTAGACGCACAATTTAAACGAACAGTGAGTACCAGCGTCTCCACAGTGCAATGAAGTGTACGTGTTTTGCTTTGCGTGGCAATTGTGCCGTGGCCCTTAATTGAGCAATTAAGTGAGGCTAATTAAGAAGGCTAATTGTGGCCCCAGCCAATTCATAACAATTAGACTCTGACGACAGCCCCCATTAACGAGAGGCCAAAGGAAAGCAGAGGGAGGGGGGGGGGGGGAAATAAGTCGGGGCAGTGTGTGTATTTGCATAAGAATACTGTGTGTGTGGTTGGGGGTGTAAACTGCTGAAGGTATGGAGTGTGAGCGGTATTATTTTAATCATATTCGCCAAGTTTTGGAGCCGAGCCGTTCCCCCCCACGTTCCTCATTCTCGCAGAAGAAGTCCAAGCAATTTCAGACTGCGGCTTAATTTTGAAATCCCTATTGAATTTTTTATTTGGCAGCTCAATGGTGAACTTTCCATTAGGATGTCCACAGATAAGGAGAAATTGAGGGTATTGACGTTCCCCAGGAGAAGTCCCACCTTTATCTTTCCATTAAACCGACATGAAAAAGCGAGACGTTAAGTGAGGATTCAGCCAAACAAGAGTAAACAATTTATGTAAACCGGCGTGTGATAAACATCTTGATTTATCCGATTCCAAAATGTGCTCGACAGTCAACAAACACGTACCTCCGCATCAGGTTGTAAAACCACCTGACTAAGGGACAGTTTCATCCCACAGGCCATAAGACTGTTAAACACCTGAACTTTTGAAAGGACATCCAGAACATTCATCTGTTTGCAACTCATATCAATATTCCAATTACTTGTATATAAACTATTCTGCACTATTTCTATTATATTCCATTTTATTGTATTTACTTGCACTATTATCTGTTTTATTGTGTTGCACTGTTGGAGGCGCCTGTGACCTAAGATTTTCATTGACATAACTACACTGTAGCTTATGCACACATGACAATAAAAGCCTTGAATCTTGAATCTACCTCAGAGCCCTGCTCAGCTTGTCATAGTTCATGTGGGGTTTACACTTCCTGGCCCCCCACATCCGGGCCACTTCATCGGGATCCTTGATGACAAACTCCCCGTATTCCCCCTGCCAGGAAATGATCCCATTGTACTCCTCCTTCTGCAGCAGCTCCAGGATGAAGTGCCACAGCTGGATCTGTCGGGACCCGGGGCTCGACTCCGGCTTGTAGGCCCAGTCTGGAAAGGCGATCCCTGGACGGAGGGAGCAGGAAAGAGGGGAGGATGAGGTTAGGGCCTGTCATTTGTCCCGCTGTTTGCCGCGGGGGATCGCTGTCTGAATGACTGATGAGTGATGGAGGTGAGGGATGATGTGTTTAATATCACAGCACGTGCCTTGAGCAGTGTTAGTCTGCGCTAATGCCCTCTAGCCTCAACAGATTGGTCAGCGGGACGACGACAGCTCGCCGGGAGAGGTCTGATTGATGCTGCCCGGCACCGAATGTATGCACATCATAGACGGACTTAAGCTGCTTTTTTGACCGGTCCCAAAGTGAATCTGGCACTAACTAGCCTCGTAAAAACATTAGATATACAACCAATTACTACCAGAGAGTGCATTTGTTTACCAGTGTGTGTGGGTATGGTTATTTTTCGTTGTTAAATGGCTTAAAGTTTGAGATCAATTTCAACATGTCTTCATGATTCTGTTCTATCATAACTGGATTGGCTTTTTTTGGTTACCCCCAGTTTAAACACCTGACCTGGGTCTAAATTCAGAGGTATGTTTGAAGGTGTGTATGCAGATGCGTGAGTAGATTTATTGAACAAAAGAAACACTTCTTAGGTAAACTGAGTGAATGAAAGAATTGTACCCCTTGCACGAGCTTGATGGTGGGACTGACCTGGCGTCCAAAGAGCGGGCACCGGGGGGATCAGCAGGTCACTGACGCAGTTACAGTCCATACCTCCACTACACCTGCAACACAGAGACAAGACAAAAAGGGAAAAAGTCAGTAAATGATAACTTGTCTTCTGCATCTGAATTGGTGCATCCTGAAAACCCCAGCAGGTTTATTTCAGAGAGTTAAAGTTGCAGAGTGTAAACTTTGTTGAAAATGGAGGTATTGCATAATGGTCTAAGGGCGCAATATCAGTTCATAAACATACCTTAAATCGATGTGAAATATGGAAAGGTTAGGTTTCATATGTCTTTGGTAGAGATCAGGTGTTTGATGGATGTGATCTTGTGTGGCCACCTGAGGCTGCGTCTGATGCAACATGGTGGACATCCCTATAGTGCATTTACTGTATGAACAGGAATTACATAGTCTTTTGAAAACCAAGGTAAAGTCGGGCCATATTAAACATTAAAATAAGAGCTTTTAATATATAATATGGCTTGGCTATTCCTTGGTGGGGTTGTTCAAAATTAAAAAAACTTTACATTAGGTGGAAGATCTTCATGTGTTATGTTTAGGTGCACTACCACAAGGAAGGCTTTGTTTGTAATGGGCATGAGAAACACTTCTCGGTATCACGCAATAAAAAAAAGCCAGCAGCGCCACGACTACAGCCATTGAGTTGAATCAACACCTATACAAATAATATTATCATCTTCATGGTGTCATTTATTTATGGTTCTTGCATTAGTTTTAAGTAGCTGCTCCAAAAAGATCAGCAACAAAGTGTATAAAGTAGCAGAACATGGAAAAATACCTTACAATTTTCAACAGTCTCAGTTCATTTCAGCACTGGTAATGAAATAGTAGTTTCTGATGAATACATCTTTAGACGAGCCCAGGTTATATTAAGTGACCACATCAACAAATATACTGTAGTTTGATGTAATACATGAGCAAAATATGCAAAAAATACAAAACAGCTGCCTGAGATAAGGGTGAACAAAAAATGAATCTATTCTTATATTACATTTAACTGAAGTGACTTACAACAAGTGCAATGAACCATGAAGATAAAACAACAAACATGCAGTTACATTCGCTTCAAATGAACCCAACTATTATAAGCGCTAGTGCATTATTTAAAAATATACAAAAAACATATTTGTAATGTTAATTTAATAGTTTAGTACATTTTAGTGTCTTTTTCTTCACACCTATGGGAGCACCACAGGTGTGCATCAAAGCTTTGACACAAACTGTTCATCTTAAATCTGTCACAGTACCTCGCACTTCATCTCATATGCGAGCTGTGATCCAAACCCATCCCAAACAATAATGTGTGCATTAAATGCCAGCTAATGACGACATTGTCATGGAAATAAATGCATGAAGACGTCTGCTGACAGGAGGACGTGAGGAGGTTTCATTGTTTCCACAGAGAGACGGGATGGAGTTTGGATATCACAGTTTGATCAGGGTTGTTTTACAAAGCTCAGATGGAAGAGATGCCCTGCTGCTACACTCATATCTGTAATGCTGGCCTCTCTATCTCTGCCTCCACTCTCTGCCTCTATTTAATTATGCTCTGTGAATTTTGGATTTTCCCTCCAGCATTGAAATGGAACGTGAATTATTAAGGTGTGTTTGTATAAATTATTATTGCTAACTCCAGGCACTTCTCTCTCTCTCTCTCTCTCTCTCTCTGACCGACTCTCTCCTTCCATCTTTCTCCCGCTCGCTCTCACCCTGCTTCTAGCCTTTGGATTGTGGCCCCTCTCTTCATCTTTCTTGTTTTCAAGCTTCTGTCTTCAAATATAGAGTTGGCATTCACCCTCATCTCACTCACATATTATTTCTTTTCCCACATCATTCATGTTATCATTTCTTATTATTTTTCATCTTCTTCCATCAGCCTTGTGTTTTCTGCCTGCGCTCATTCTCCCATAATGAGTCAAAGTTATCACCAGGGTTCAGATAACAACGTCTTCACAAAAAGCTCCGGGAATATTTCCTCCAAACTACACTAACCTGTTAGATCATTTTGTATTCAGCGTACCGGCAGGATATCCAAAACACACGTTGGCCTTCACACCATTACAAACGTCTCTTTCACAGCGTATGTCCTTCTATTAAAACTCGATACAAGCCGTACGCCGGCCCCAGTGGAGAGTGGTACGGGTCTTTAAAAAATAAGATATTCTTTGTGTTCGAGGTAGTAATCTATAAGTTTTCTTTTCCCTGTGGGCTACAGGTCATCAATACTGCATCATATGTTTCATTTGCCATATTCTGGCGGCACACAGCATGTATAAACTGGTCTCCTCCGAGGATCGTGTATACGTGAGCTCCTCTGACAGGGTCTCTGCGGCCCCTCTCGCACCACCTACACACCGCCTACATCTATATCCATTTTCCCTCTTCGACAGCGGAACCACACAGGTGAATCCTCCCTTCCTCTTTCCCACCTCCTCTCTATTCACACACACCTATCCTCTGTCTGCTCCCCCCCCCGCCCCACCCATCTCTCCCTCTCTCCTGCTCTGTGTGTTTTGCTTCGGCGCAGTAATTTTCCGTTTGATTTCGGAGGTAATGCATTTTTTACAAATCAAAGAGGAAGCCAGGCAGCCCCCCCCCCCCCCCTCTCCTCCTCCTCTTCCTCCTACCTCCTCTCCTCCCTCCCCAGTCTCTCGTTCTCGCCCCCCCCTCGGCCCCCCAGGCCAGAGAGGAGATAAAGGAGCCCCCATCATTTCCTTGTTAGTTTTGATTTGGGCAGCGCAGGGCTTTCAAGTTCCCCCCATCACCCCCAGAAACATTATAACTAGCAGCCCAGGGAATACTGTTCCTGGTGCGCACACACTCTTACACACACTCTTACACACACTCTTACACACACATGCATGCACTGACTGTCAGATACAGACGCTGCTTACAGATTGTAATGGATTGCACGGTAAACACACACCAGATATGCCACAAATACACAGGTAGCTCAGGTAGCACACACACACACACACAGTGAGAAACAGCACACAGAATAAGACATGGAGCCCATAGATATTGACTGAATCGATATAGACACACATCTCAGTGAGCTGAAAGAGAGAATGCACTTTGTTTAGTAAAAGATGGTACTGATTGAGACAAAAAAATTGCAACACAAGAGCGACAGTGGACACAAACAAAAGGACTCCTTTCGCACAAAAGGCCACGGATAAGAACTCCGTCTGGATGATGGATCACACAGTTACCGGTGACAATAGTGAAAACACACAAAAGGGGCATGGAGTTACTGTACAGTCACATGTTGACAAAAGCACCTTCGACGCTCAAAGGAAACCTCAGTGTTGTGAGTCTAGTTTTAGCTAACCCTCTGGTGTGTTGTGAGTCAGAGGCTTTTGATCATTCAGGCAGTGGAAACAGTCGGCTGTTTTTAGGGACAGTGTTTCCTCTGCTGTCTTTAGGACATCACGAAGACGCAAGGGCTCACAGTCAAGGCTGGTCGAGGCTCAAAGGGTATTAGAGGAAGTCAAAAAGAAAGATCCTGATATTTTCCTTGTAATAAGAATAGCAATTATTAAACAAATAACAAGGATCTGGTAAGAAATGAAGATGGCAAAGACAAAAAAGGGTATTGAGTGCGATGCTCAACTTCCAATTAGCACACAAAGACTCAACCTTTTAAACAACCTTTAAAGAAGATTATATCTGGACTTTGTGGGAAATAAGCTGTAAACACAACCTCAACATATTATCACACTAAGGTTGATATTGTGACTTCTTCCACACTTGAAAAACAGCATTCATCAGGTTGTGCTTTTTGGCCACATAGTCAATGTAAGTCCAATATTCACTTCCTTTTGGTTCTGCTTCCTCTAAACCAACTCCTGAACAATGTAAATGTGTCGCTTACACTATTTGTATTTCTACAAAACACACTTTGTTAGACTGAGGAGAACTGCATAATCAAGTGGTCATTCTCTAGTCATTTCATCCTTTCTAAATATGAATATATTGTTAATGGCTGATTCAATCTTGATTTGATAACTTATGTGGTTTGCACTCATTGTCCCTGTTATCATCTTGTCTGATTTCTCTTATCTTTTGCCTGTAAAGCACTTCTTTAGTTTTATTGCACACAATTATTATGAGTTTAACAGTCATACTGTATAATGTCCTTTATGCTGATTCAAATACACAATATAACACGATGAAAGCCTTATTAGATATGCTCATAATTGGGAGTATAAGGTCTTCTATAAACACGTGGAAAGTCATCACAACTACTTTGAGTTAAAACTGGTGTTCTGTGATGTGCCACTTATTACTGTCCAAGAAAATCTGAGTGTGTTTCATTAGAGTCCACGAGTTTCAGGTTTGAAGAGAAACATATTTGGAACATCTTCTTCCCGAGCAGGACAGACGGATACACACTGATGCAAGTTTGCAGCCAGGCGGGTAATCTATAGCACCAGCCCGTCAGCAGAAGCGTTGCTGCGGAGGTTAGTAGGCCACTGACGGGAGTGAAAAGGAAACAGTGAAGTACCAACTATGTTTTTGAAATTCTGCAGAGTGACTGGGGTAGAGGGAGGAAAGGGGGGGGCACGCTGACATTCAGGCAACATTATATCTCCAGTGCTGTCTAAAGAAGGAAAGAGTGATGGGTCACGATATAAAAGATAGAAAAATATGAGAGGCACGAAGAGTCTGGCCTCTCCCGCTTTCTTTTTCCACAAGATGAAACGGGCTCTGAACATCTGTCTCATCTTCCCTTTTTTTTCGGTTGCCCCTGAAAAAGGCCCAACTGAACCCACTTTCTATCTCCCTTTCTCTTCACTTGCCTCTCTCCCGCTATCTCTGTCTCTCCCTCTCTCTCTCTGTTCCTCTCCCTGGTTAGCTCTGACACACTGGTCAGCCTCAGGGTGGAAGAACAGAGGGACTCTGCTATGGGTTTGTTAGAGGAGATGGAAAGAAGGAGAGAGGAGAAATGAGGAGGGGAGAGAGAGAGGAGAGAGGGAGGGGGAGGGTTGGTCAGGAGGAAGACGGAAAAAGAACCTGTCCATC